AGATACCACTTGCTATAAATGGATACTAAAAAGTCAAATCAATGGAAGATTGCTTTCTGAACATGTAAAAAGAACATTCTAGTACCACCAGCTCAAGCCAGTATAATCACTGGTTGGGGATACCTAAAGTTATAATTTAACAACATCTGAAAAACTACACATCTTCTACCCTTGGTTTAGATCAATGGTGGGATTCAAAAAATTTTACTACCGGTTCTGTGTACGTGACTTGGTGGGCGTGGTGTGGCTTGGTGGGCATGGCTTGGTGGCCGTGGCAGGGGAAGGATACTGTAAAATCTCCATTCCCATCCCACTCCAGGGGAAGGTTACTGCAAAATTCCCATTCCCTCCCGATCAGCTGGGACTCAGAGAATAGATGGGGGCGGGACCAGTCAGAGGTGGTATTTACCAGTTCTCCGAACTACTCAAAATTTCTGCTACCAGTTCTCCAGAACTAATCAGAACTTGCTGACTACCACCTCTGGTCTAAACAATGAACATTATAGTTTGGGATCCAATTTGCCTCCATACTTTTGAATACTGCTTTTTTATCTGTTTGTCTGGAACTCTTGCCTAACTTATACATTAGTCACTTAAATTGTGTCTTCACTTGGTATGATGATGGGTTGATGTTATTTATTTAAGTCAATATATTGATTCTACACTGGCATTCTGGCACTGAAACATTGGTCTCTGGTTGGATCAACTTGTTTCTGGAAAATAAAATACTTTGCATATCCTCATAGAATTCCATAGTTTGCTCATCTTTCAGGACTGTACACAGGAAATTTGCCTATTTAAACAACCTTAACAATTTGAAAGCTTACATATTCTTATAGAGATAAAATAAATTAGCCCAGGTAGAAACACTATCTTTGTGAATACCACATCACTCTCGTCACATAAATATCTGTGATTAATGTAGGGTGTCCCCCCCCCCCTTTTATTATTCTAGTTCTGTTTGAATAATTCTTAACAGAGGGAAAGCAATAATTCCTGTTTTTTATGGTGCAAGGATCATGGAACACAGCCAACAATGAATGAGAATAAGAGACAAACTCTTAATGAATAATATAATTAGATGCTAACCCTGGCAGAACCAGTTTAGTTGGTCTAGTTGTGTCAGTAGCATGGAGGAAGGTTTCTTTTTGATATGACTAGGACAACAGGTTAGTGATGTTCTTATAGACACTGGTCTATTCACTTGCCACTAATGATCTGTGCACATGACAGGCCTGTTCTTCACCATAGAATGATTTAGCATGTACTGTTTATGCCCTGGCACAACAGGGAGTGGTATGTGGTTCTTAAGCTTTTTAAGTGCAGGGATACATGAAAAGGTTACTATTTCATCTCCAGCTGTTGACATCTTCCTATTTGGGTGCAATATAGATTGCCCTGATACTCAAGGTCAGTCAAAGCTAATGTTAATGTGGCATGTGACAAATCACCCCAAGATCCTTCATCACATGTTCAACCAAGATGGTAAAGAGTATTGTCAAATCATGAAAATCAGAATAACAGACGACAGAGTCGGAGGGGACCTTGGAGGTCTTATAATCCAGCCCTCTGCTCAAGCAGGAGACTTTATACCATTCCGGACATGGCTGTCCAGTCTGCTTTTAAAAGCCTCCAGTGATGGAATACCCACAACTTCTGAAGGCAACATTCACTGATTAATTGTTCTCTTAAGAAATTTCTCCTTAGTTCTAGGTTGCTTCTCTCCTCGATTAGTTTCCATCCATTGTTCTTGTCATGCATTTTGGTGTTTGGAAAATATGTTGAACTCAGTGGTGGGATTCAAATTTTTTTTACTACCGGTTCTCTGGGTGTGGCTTGGTGGGCATGGCAGGCTGGTGGGCCGTGGTTTGGTGGGCATGGCAGGGGAAGGATACTGTAAAATCTCCATTCCCTCTCCATTCCAGGGGAAGGTTACTGCAAAATCCCCATTTCCTCCCAATCAGCTGGGACTCAGGAGGTGGACAATAGATGGGGGCAGGGCCAGTCAGAGGTGGTATTTACCGGTTCTCCGAACTAATCAAAATTTCTGCTACCAGTTCTCCAGAACTGGTCAGAACCTTTTGAATACCACCTCTGGTTGAACCCCCTCTTCCTTGTGGCAGCTGTCGAATATGGTAATGAGGAGGGAAACCTTGGGCTTAGGTTTCCCTCTGTTCTCCCAGTCCAGCGGGAAACCTGTTAGTTTAAAGGGATTGGTTCTCGCTGCAGGGGGGAAACATTCAAGGGATCTCAGTGGCCGAGCTGTCAGACAGCTCCCTTTTAAAGAGGGAGCTGCCGGACAGCTCCGGCACTTGTATATACTCATCTATTGAATAAAGAGCTGTTGCACCAGCGTGAGTCCTGTCTCTTCACTCATCCCACACTTAACAGCAGCCCCTCAGATATTGGAACACTGCTATCATGTCAGCCCGTCGTGATAGCAGTATTCTAATATTTGAGGGAGTGCCACAAAGAAGAGGGAGCCTGCCTATTTTCCAAATCATATTGTAAGAAAACAAAAATGAGTTTAACTGTTTTTTTAATGGAGAATTCTAGGTTTTTACATTCTTCTGCTTCTGTAATGTTTTCCACTAGTCCCAAAATACATTTAGTCTTTATTAATGACAACTGCAGATTATCTTAAATGCCGGGCTAGTTTTGTATTCCTGGTTAATGCCCACATTTGCTATCCATTAGATGGAAGCCTGTAAGAACATTGTGCTGTGCTGGCTAAATATGATTGTGCTTTCTATGTATGAGGAATAAAAGAGAAATTTATTCCTCTCTCCTTTTTCCTTTTCCTTAATGGGAATACTCATAATACTTTAGAATGAGCAAAGTTCAGAACACTATTTTTTACAATGTATTTAACTCTTCTAGCCAAACATCCTTCTATGTTCTACTCAGAGAAATTAAAATTAATTTCAAAATTAAAAAGTATTGTTTCATCTGTATTTTATGTAGCCTTAGCTTATTCAATGTTTTCAATTATTTTAAGAGCGGGGTAAGCTGAAAGGCTGTAAGGCTTTATAGACATTGATGCAACAAAGGAATAAACTCCAGGGAGTTATTGCTTAGGATCTGCAGGGCAGGAAAAGAGTCATCACAGGTGCTTAGAAATTGAATGGCTGAATCCAGTAGAAATTATTGTTTTTAAAGAGCATGTAGGCACGATAGATCAAATAAGTTTGGGCAGCAGAATCTCATTAAGTCTGAGATATGCTGATACTGATTTTCCCAGAATCATTTTCAATGTTCAGAAATATTATTATTCAACTTTAGTATCAGACAATGATTTATAGTACAGTATTGCTTCTTGCTAGCTATCTAGCAACTATTACACAAAGCATGTAATTTCAGTGGTTCTTTATGTTCTACAATGTATAATTTGCTACAGAGGGGGTAGGATGGCATATAAGCAAATTTTACCTTGCAGGTTTGCATTTTATGTGAACCCAGTCATTGGGGCTTGTAAATAAGTGTATGTTTTTACATGTTGTGAGAATTTAGACAATCATAGCTTATTCACCCAACCAAGATTAAAATATTTAAAAAAAAACCTTAAGTTCAGCACTAACAACAAAAAAGAAAAAATTGGTGTACAAAAAAGAGAAAAAAGTGATCAAAATATGTCACAATGATTCTTTCTCCTTTCTTTCTTTTCTTCCACATTTCAAGAGAAATGCAGAAAAAATACAGGATTCCTTCAATAAAGCTATACACAAAGTACCCATAACCATGTAGTTTTTAAAAGATGCCATGTGTCTACTACCCTTAAAATCAACATACATTTGATATGTAAGACATGTATATGTTATTCCCTAAACACATTTCTTAATTTCTGAAAATGCAGGAATTGCTAATGTATGAAAAGTGTTAAACATACTTTGTATATTTAGAATAGATCCATATGTTTTTGAAGCCCTAATTTTGCTGTGTAACACAGAACTGGGAGACTTTGGCTCCAGAATTCCTTGTCAGGTTCCGAATACATTCCTCTATGTCCCTCTTCATGTGGGGCCACCAGAACTGGCGATTTACTACATACAGAGTCTTGACGAACCCAAAATGTCCAGCTGAGTGAACGTTGTGGCAGCGCCACAGCACGGCCACCCATACCACACGGTATATATAACTTCGACCCCTTCCAGGCAAAGCCCTCTCGCTGTGGTAATAAAGTTTACAGACCAAACATGTCAAGACAAACCCTCAGCCGGAGAGCCTCATTCCCCCCCCCGCCGCCATGGACACGCCCGCCGGGCAGAGCCGCAGTAGCTACAACTCCATACCGCTGTTGCCCACCCGCCTCACCCCCCTGCAGGAGAAGGAGGAGCTGCAGGACCTGAACAACCGGCTGGTCATCTATATTGAAAAGGTGCACTCGCTGGAGTCGGAGAACGTGCCGCTGTGACTGCGCATCACCGACTCGGAGAAGGTCAGCAGCCTGGCATTACAGAGGCGTATGAGACTGAGCTCCACCATGTGCGCAAGACGGTGGAGTTAGTGGGCAAGGACCGTGCCCGGCTCCAGCTGGAGCTCACCGAGGTCCACGAAGACTTCACGGACTTCTGGGTCAGGAACACCAAGAATGAAGGAGACCTGCTCACTGCCGAGGTCAGCCTGAAGGATATGGAGGCCATACTCAACACCAAAAAGTCTGCACTCAGCACCCCCTTGGGGGAGAAGCACAAACTGGAGACTGAAGACTGTCACCTCAGCAGCCAGCTGGCCAAGTTGGAGATGGTCTTGACCGACATCAAGAAGCAGTTTCAGGATGAAACGCTGCAGCGGGTGGATGCGGAGACCAGCCTGCAGACCCTGAAGGAGGAGCTGGACTTCCAGCGAGGAGCACTGTGAGAGCAAACTGTGCTACGAGACGTGCCTGGTGGAGATTGACAACGGGCGCCAGCGGGAGTTCGAGAACAAGCTGGCCAATGCGCTGCAGAACCTCTGCGGCCAGCACAAGGCCCAGGTCAAGCTCTACAAGGAGGAGCTGGAGAAGACCTATGCAGCCAAGTGGATGTGGATGCTGGGGAAGATTCCATCCTGTGATTCCCGAGATCACCTAACCTTATTTCCACCCACTCCACACAAAGGGAAAGTTTGTCCAGAGTTGACTGAGTCTGGCATGTCAATTTAATTCATAAAATGAACAATAAATAAATACGTACTGGCATTAAAAAAAACCAAAGGAAGAATACTTTGTATATTTAGAATAGATCCATATGTTTTTTAAGCCCTAATTTTGCTGTATAACACAGAACAGGAAGACTTTGGTTCCAGAATTCCTTGTCAGGTTCCGAATATGTTCCTCTATGTCCCTCTTCACGTGGGGTCACCAGAACTGGCGATTTACTAAATGCAGAGTCTTGAGGACCCCAAAATGTCCAGCTGAGC